CGTATTGACCTCGCTATCGCTCGGTCAATGCTGCAAGGCCTCAGTTTGAGATTTTCCCGTAACGACCTCACTCTCGGTTATTAAGTAGTTAATAAACAATGGCCAGGAAAAACATTTCAAATTATAAACTGACAAGCTGAAGTCATATGAAATTAAAGTTTACAGTACATTTTCTTAAAGTCACCAAAACAGACTGGCATAGTATCCATATCCACATTCTGAGAAACATTTTCTACCTTCCATGCGTCCGTGTCTGTTAAGGGCACAGTAAGCGGCTGAACTTTGAGAGTTTGTGCGGCTGAACTTTGAGAGTCTGGTTAGGTCTTTCTGTTTTGTTTCATGTAAGACATCACAAAATGTAAAACATTTTGCAACCGCTTTTGCAACCGTTGTTTGTCTTTTGACTCGCCCAACGGGCCCGTCAAAATACGGCACAACTCGTAAAATATACAGCGATACTACACACAAAAACAACTAATAAGACTGAATGTCATTCGATCTCAATACCTCAATAAAGTGATCAGAGGGCTAATTAGTTCTGGTTCGTTTTTGGCTCGCGAGTCATAACACCAAGCAACTGTTTGCTGAGCCTTGAACTCAAATTTTCTTTGTCAGGACTCCCAAATTCTCGTTTGGTCTTATAGTGCTGTCTGCCCGCAAAAATCTTTCCGTTCTTCCAAAGACCTGTCTCTCTACGCCAAGGCAGTACGTGAGATCGAAGTTCAAGGTGTACTTAGCTTTTTTTGGATTCTGTGAGTAAGACGGTTCGCAGTACAGGACAGATCTTGAAGGGCAAAAACTGAATCACTGATCGCTGCTGAGCTGTTCAGTAGAACAATGAAGGCTGAATAAGGAAATCAAGCACTAAAAAGCCGGAAACACCATACCTTTATCATGAAACCACCTTTAACTTTATCATGATTATAAAACAATTTTAACATATGTGTATAAATTTATATCTCTTATTTATTTATCTATTCACTTGTATGTGTTTTTTATTTGAGTGTCCAAAATTAGTACTGAAGATAAATACTCCGGCCGACACTCAAATAAAGTTCCCTGTAAAAAATTCTTTAAAAAAGTTGAAAAAGATATCACTATTGGCCAACGAACTCTAATAAATTCAGTTCGACTGAAGTCCTGGTACTGAAGTGTTCTAAGTGCCTTAGCTAAAGACGATAAAAAACCACTCTGTGCAACAAAATGTTTTATGTACTGGCCTGATGGAGGGGGGATGAGCTCAAATACCAAGTAGAACAGCATTTCAAGATTCGTTGATCTTTGTGGCTCTTTTTTTTCACCAAACAGAAATGAAAATACAGTGGGAACTAACATGATTCCAGATCAACACAAACAGCTTTTTAATCAATGCCAACTCTATCTTCAGTCGTGTTGTCTGCACTTGTTGTGGGACTTTGGTGAGACATACCAGGATGCGAAGTTTCTTTTGTCAAAGGATGTGTTTCCCTTAGCTGTTGATGCCTTCTTGCTGCAGCCACCTGTCTATGAAGACACAAGCCATAATGACATCGCCAGACAGATTGTGGATATAAATGAAGCAGCTCTCGGACCCTTTGGAGAGTGAGTATACCCAGAAAATGATGTCTGCATGTGCTTATTGAGTGTTAAAGATGCACAGAAATTCCACTTCTCCAGTTTCTTGATCAACGTTTCAGTTCAGCATTGGTTGCTGATTTCTGGTTGTGCATGTATGAGCCAAGTTGTTCGACGTCGGTTATCATGCGGTATAGAGTGTTTCCACGTGATGTCACGGCAGCTATATTGGTTTCCCAAAAAATGAAATGATGGTCGTGTCGGTGTCCCAAACCAGTCCTGCGGAAGTTGAATTCTCGTTTGTACCAATAGATTTGCATGGCTGTTTGCCACGTGAGTCAAAACGTTTTATATACACCAACCCAGCAACAGTTGACTAACACGGGCCATGCAGCATGCGATGCGCACACTGACTAAGAATCAAACTACTACGAGCTTGTTGAAACTTGACTGGCCTGCTTGATGCTCGACAGACCCTTGCACACCAATACTGATGTTACCTGCCACCATTGTCCACTTTGGACCTTTCCATGCTTCGATTCCTTCTTCTGTTTATTTTCTTTGTAGGTTGGTGGAATGTGATTCCAACATCCAAGAGAAAGTTTCCAAAATGTCTCCACTGATTGACAAGTTACTCTTTATAATAGACAGGAGCCAATCAGAGCCTGCAGGATATTCCTTGGTTTCAGTCCGGGTGGTTTGTATAATTTTGTTTTATTGTACTTGGAATGTCAAATCTGCCCAGCCATTGGTGGATTGTGGAGCACTGGAAAAAATGCTTAATATCACACGGAAGCTTCTGATTGATAAGGACAGCGATGCACCTCTTAGGTGAGAGTTAGAGAACAGCTTGGTATAAAACGTTTGCTTTTTTAATATATTGGGGTGGGAAGGCATAACAGAGATTATCTAGGGTCATTGGCTGACAGACAGTATTGCGTCTCGGCATTGACCCATTGCGTTTATGTCCGTTCACCAGGTACTACTGTTGTCTATTTCTGGCTAGACTGCGTTCAGCTCCTCTGATGAAGCTGGACAGGGTTACTTGTGCTGCTGTAGATGAACTTACTTATATATTCCTAGAACAGCATGTATCCGAAGAGATCTCAAAATGGGAAGAAGACACGTCTTACGTCTGGATGACAATGGTGCCACTGGTTCATCTTGCCTTTGCTGCAGGAAAGGAGTATTACTGTGCTCAAATTAAAGAATTAAAGTGCGATACAACACAAACGGAAGAAGTTGCCATAACTGAGTCCGATGAAGCTAAAGCTGACAAAAGAGAAGAAAAACTTATTCATCAAACAAGTTGGAAACGTAAAATGAATAAAAGTCCCACCCTGTCTGACAAATCTGAAACGACTGGAGCTGAAACTTCAGTGGCTGGAGACAAGAACTGTGTGACGGCAGACACCAAGGACCAAACCACATGGCCAGGTTCCCCATCAACACAAAAACTTGGAATCTTTTCCCTGACGAACATGCTTTTACGCAATGAAAACCAGCAGCTGGCGCTAGCAGAAAATCTCCTTCCATATCTCGTGTGTCTGTCATGGCACCTAAAGTGTGACGAGAAGGAAAAACTAAAAACCATTCTGGGAACTTTTGCAAATGTTTCCTCGCCTCCGTCTTTGAAAATTGTTACCAAATCCGTACTGGCTCTTGTTAATGGTTTAGACATGGTTTACAAACTCTAAACAGCCAAGCAGACGGACAATGAAAATGATAGACCGTCTGATGTTTCCGGCCTAGGGAAAAACCTATTTCTTGTACCTCGACACTTATTTCTTGCACCTTATTTCTTTTACCACAGGGAAACTGTACGGCTACTTGACTGGTTTCCTTGAGCGACCAGGCATTAAATTGTAACATTATAATTATTTATCGGCCACACATAATAACCAAAAACGTTAAAGTAACACAAGGAAAAACAGATTAGAATATTGACGGCGATATTGCATCATTCTTGCCAGCAATGTTTTCTTAATACATAGGTAAGCGAAAATAAACGATCAAAGCCGGTGTTTCGGTGTCATCATGCCATGACGCCATTGTCAAGGGGATTGTAGAAATATTCAGCGAGTCCATTACATAGGAGGCTCGCTAAATTTGCATAAAAAATAATCAGTTAAATTATATAAAGATACTTTCCTGTAGATGGAGTTTGACTGAACGTTTAGAATACGTTTTAAACGTCTTATGAATTACATCTCGTGCTCTAAACAATCAGGCTTATTCTTGCATTTCTTTAGGACGCCAAACAGCCTCCTCACATATCTACTTTGCATCTGCTGATGCATAATGATCGGTTATGCTATTTCTTGGATACATTTCACCCACCTACAAATCGTTCCCGCGGTGGAGAGAGGTACTCCGCGAAAATTCGGCCAACCTGCATACTAAAAATTTTAGAATTCCTACATACGAAAAATTTTTAGTATTTTACACTTGCTACCCTAGTCGACCTGACCAAAAAACGCAATACTGGCCCTACCAAGGGCCGGATTTGCTGCTGCTCGTGTAGAAAACTTTTCAGAATTTCTCCTTGAAAATTAAACTGTGTCGGCTTCTCAAAAGTTAAAGGGATGTTTGCAGGGCTCGGCGAATTTTTGTGTAATTTATAACGTTATTCCCATTCGATTCACCTGTTTATGAAACAATCGAAAGTTCAGCAAGCTGATGATATGACTCTCAAGGGAAATTTTCCATTGTATATTTTGCTGCCACCCAAGAACAAGCGCCGATAAAGGTGATATTTCTCATTACAATTCCATTTGCTTGTTTTGACTCCCATTGCAAGAAGAAAACTCGTCCGGTTCCCAGACCGAATTTGTGAATTTGTTCTCCATGAAATGAGTTCACTGACCCGAGTCATTTTCCGTGCAAAACGTTTAATTTAGTCTGTGATTGCTCAAGTACATATCGCTCAGGCAATATCACGCCACCGCTTGCACATGTATGTACCGAACCATGCATTGATTGCTTGAATTAATGACAGTGATACAAAAAAGATACCAGCAGTCTTTGACTATAGATTATCGACAGTTGTTAAAACTCCTGTCTGGTGTGGACAGTCCATTGCCCGGGTATTTCAGACGAAAATGGTCAAAATCTCTACTCTCTCTGAGACCAAAACGGCTCAAAAGCCAGTGATTGATTCTTTCAAAACCACAACCCTAGATACCAAGCTAACCACCCCCTATGCACCTCCTCACCCAGCCCCGTATACCCCATTTCTACAAAACTCACTGTCATTTCTCGCCAAATTGGGTTGCGTGACAGCATCACGCTCTCGAGCTTGCGTTCGGGCTGCAAATTTGAAAATGCAGTGTCACTTAAGTCCAATATCAGAAAATGGTCGGAATGCGGAAATAATCAGCAAAACGTGAATTATTTAAATCAAACATCATTCGTTTTTCCAAAGTTAAGAAACTAAACTGAACCGAAACAAGTCTTGACGCAGAACTCTACGAGAACTCCAGAGAGAAAGAACTTCAAACATAGAATCAATGATACCCGGGGGGTGGGGACTGCCATATATGGGCTATATAGGTATGTGCCGCTGTGAAGGGTATGGTTTTCAAGCAGTTTACTCTAGGATAGGGCATATAAATCAGAGCGTTTGGGTCTAGAATAGGGTATCATTTTTCACAAAACTGACTGCTTGATTGAAAATTTTTTCTTGAGTAAAGAAACCAGGAATTACCACCCAAAAATGTAAAAAAATAAAATCGGCAAGTTTAAATTTACGCAAATCAGCCTCAACAGTGTCGATAGATGGGGGGATTTGGGGAGTTTACTCTAGTATAGGTTAGCAAAATTCAGCTTAACTAGCTCTGGTATAGACTAAGGGTTCCAGGGTCCCGGCGGCACATCCCCACCCAGAAATTCCCAAAGTACCCCCCCGGGCAATGATGGCCCTTTACGTGGACTATAGCTGCGCAGAAAACAACGAAACAGGCAGAACCAAGCTTACTGTTTCTGACTATGTTACCACAAGCATCAGAGTTATAAAGTACGCTATTCAGGCCGCCATTCAAGCACCAGTTTGCGATCAACAACTGTTTTATCAGAGACAACCAGTAACAGACGATGACATGACTCTTAGCAGATTGTATTTCCGGGAGGGTGACTGCTTTAAAGTGCAATTTCTTGCTGTAGTGGACATCGCACGGATGACTGAGCTTGTGAATGTGCTGAAGAACTTTTCTCAAGAAATTGTCGAAAAGCTCAACAGACAGCTTCCTGTAATAAACGCAAAAGAGGAGGGCGAAAGCTTGAGGAGACTTCATGACTTCTTCTCTCTCCGGCATAACGATGCATGTCTTGCAATAAAAGAACTTCAAGATTCCTTTTTGTCCCAGTGGAAATGTCTAAAAACCGTTGCACAAAGACACTTTTTCGTTCAAGATGGAGGATTTGAATCTTTTTTGGAGGTGTTCAAATTTTCACGCCAAATGTACTACGATGTTAACGTGTAAGTATAACAGCTTTATTTGGTAAATTATGCAAATGAGTTTGCAGCAGCCAGCTATGGGGGTTAGGCCAGGCAACGATTTGTTGCAACATGCACTGTCATGATCTTAGCAAAAATAAGAACTTGCGTTTTGAAACAAAATCGTTGATTTATTTGTATGTAACCCCATCACTGAGTTCCTCTTAATTCTTGTATTTTCTCAGTGACATCTTTTGAGGCTTACGTCATTACCCTTATAAAGTTATTTTGACTTTCCGCAAACTAAGTAAACTCTTGAGTTCCGTTTCGTATTTGCTCGCAAGCCATGGCAACGAACGAATTTGTTTCTTTTCGTAATGGGACTTACCTAATAGAGTCCTAAAGTGATGACGTCACAAAAATCAAATTTTTTAAATTATGGGATATGATGTCATATTCTCATAGAGGATCCTAAAAGGTGCCCTCATCCCAAAAATTAGCTCTGAATTGCAATTCCCGATAGAGATATAAGGGATCAAAGTTTGATAGCATCTCATACAAACCCTTCAAAATTTGTTTCAGTTCCTTCAGTTTAGAACTGACTCAAAATTAGAGAGATTTATATGGGGCACTACCAAATTTTCATCCTTTATATTTCGGCTGGGAATTACAATTAAGAGGTAATTTTTGGCAAGGACCCTTTTTTAAGGACGCTCTATTCGAAAATGGCA